TGCACCCACCGGCTCCCACGCATGTCGAACTCCCTTCGGGACAATTGCGCCACGCCCGTATAAATGTATCTTTGTATCCACTCGGCCAAACTCCCCACCGAACAGTGCTTGAATCAGGCGGCCACGAGCACCCGCACCTCGGACTAAGAGCAGTTCTCCCTCACGAAATAAGTAAAATAATAAAAAAAATAAAATTAAAAATAAAAGTAGTGGTATTTCAGCTTGCGCCGAGCTGTTGAAATACAGACCTGAGCTCGAACTCCAATAGAGGTGGGTGAGTGGCGGCTTACTTAGGTGGTGATCCCACGTGACTGTTTTTCAACAGTCTGCGGGTGTACCAACTAAGCTAAGCCCACGGGTGCTGGTCCCACAGGCCTGTTTTTCAACAGCCTGCGGGTGTACCAGCTGAGACAACGTAGGTGCTGAGCCCACAGGACTGCGTTTCAACAGCCTGCGGGTGTACCACCTGAGACAACGTAGGTACTGAGCCCACAGGACTGTTTTTCAACAGCCTGCGGGTGTACCACCTGAGCCTGGCTCAGCGACATCAGTCCCACAGGACTGTTTTTCAACAGTCCGCGGCTGTTCCAACCGAGCTTGGCCCAGTGGCAATTCCGGACCTGCGTTTCAATAATTTGTAGGTGTACCGTCTGAGCTAGGTCAGTTGGTGCTGGTCTCACATGCCTATTCTCAATAGTTTGCGGGTGTACCAACTGAGCTAGGCCCAGCAACACTGAATCAGAACCCGCAGGCCCGTTTTCCAACAATCTGTGGGTGGACCAACTGAGCTAGGCTCAGCGGCATCAGTCCCATTAGACTGTTCACACTCATTCTTCTCACAGCAATTCGTGGTTGGCGGATGGTGCGACTGCAGTGTGCCCGCACCAGGGCTCCCTCTGGCTGTGACTTATCTAGGCACAGTTCACCCTTTTTTCGGGCCACGACGGCATGCTCTTACATCAGCCTCCCACAGCAGATCGCGATTGGCGAGTGGTGCACTTTGCAAAGTGCCCCCGCCACTCAGGTTTCTTCCGCTCCGTGGGTTATAGACCCACCAACTCTCACACACGTTGACCCGATCTGTTCGAGCACCAAGACGGTTAAGATAGAGGAACCTTGTCAGTACCCTGAATACGCAGAACCCCGAACGCCACTGCTAAAAGAGGCGTGTGCTCAAGGTCCTAGACTGTTGTGACGGCCACCGGCGCAGGTCCTTTGTCGTTCCCTGGTGCAATGTTGGTCACTACAGCCCGTGCTGGCACGCACCCCTGCGTTCAAGGTCAACAACGCGGGCGACAGAGTCGCCCTCCGCCCCTGTTCAGATACGGACGCATGACTTGCCTCTGTCCGCTCCTTGTTCAACAATTTCAGCATTCTTTATTTATTTATTTTTTTTGAAGTTCTTTTTCATCTTTCTTTGCAGTACTTCTTCGCCGTCGGTCCCGGACCCAGTTTCCGGCCTGGTCGGCAAACGGGAAAATGGAGAAAAATAAAAATAAACCAACAGATAAAAAAAATAGTAGAATTGAAGAGGACGAGGACCTGCCGACGCCCTCCTGGTCTTTAGAAAACGCCGAGACGCCACCTGCGCCGAGGATCGTAGCCTTCTAGTATCTTGGCTGTCAGGTGCTCGGTATATTTTGTCGATCTTTCGATGTTTTCCACATTCTAGGTATGCCAACGCTGCGCCTTTCGACGCGTTGTCCAACATAAACTTCCTACTTGTGTGCAAGCTGAAGTTTTATTCTCTTCGCATCGTATCCTGCTAAAGGCCGAACTAGTTATGAAGTAAATCTAACCTTTATAAAATAAGAGAAGAATATAATCAACAAAAAAATTAGAGAAGGGAGAGTAACCGGGCCTCACGGCTTTGGCGCCATTTCGCTAGCCTAGTATTGCCGATGACTACCGGCCACCTCATGGTGCCACACAATAATGCGAGCCCTACACACTCTCTCTCTCGCCATATTCGATTTGGAGTTTCGCCATAAGCGAGGCTGCCGAGATAAGCGCCCTGACGGGATTTACTTCATCAGCGCATTTCATTGATCAAGGACACACTCAGTGCGATGTTTAAAAAGGACGGCAAATACCCTTGTAAGGGTGTTTGCTACGACATCGCCCCACACCGCCTTTGATTGATTGATTGATTGATTGATTGATTGATTGATTGATTGATTAATTGATTCATTCATTCATT